CTGTACTACATGGAACAAAAGTATATTTCCCAGTATTTAAAAAAAAAAATAATTTGCATTCGTTATAGCTTTACTTTTCCCTAAAAACGTGTACGCCCAAACTTAAACATCAGCACTTATGTTATAACAAACAAACAAAACAAAAACAACTGTTTAAATGCATAGATATGTACCCTGTATTTTTTTAAAAATGAATGAACACAGCAAAAAAATACATTTCTTAATTGTTCTGGCTCATATTCAATTTCAGCACATCATGCAAAATTCAAATAACCACATTGTCCAATCAGTGCCATGATTACAGAGAACAATAAACACAATTCCTTTTCATAGTGGAAATTAATTGTCTATTTTTAGTGTGATGATTGGTCTTTCAAATGTAACAAACTGATTTCCTGAATATTGTTCTTCCTGCAAACTGCATGTAGTGACTCACAGCGCTCAAAGACTCTATACGGGTTGCCCACTGATGCACAAACACAGCAATTACCCCTGATTGGGACGACTACGCACCCATCAATGTCAAAGCCTCCCACTCTGCTATATTGACAGCACCTTACAGGAGAAACAACAGCAGCCAATCATCAGACCCAGGAGACCCTACAACGCTCAACGGCCTACAGATCACGAGTGCGCTCCATTACACCAGGAATCTGCACGAACACATTCAGAGGCTTTCTCTGGACGCTTTCATTGTTATGTTTCTCAAGAGCATCGGCTATGTTTACATTTAAGCTTATAATACAACTATAAGTTTGAGGTCATGTAAACAGTGACCAAGTTTACATGTCAAGTAAATTCATCTTAATCCATTTATTGCTCATTCTGATTATTGCAAGTATACTGTCAGTGGAAACCAGACTCATCATGAACAGAGAGATGAGTGATAAAAAGTGATAAAAAAAATATAAATATAAAAAAAAATTTAGGGCTGCAACTAAGGATTATTTTAATAATAGATTAATCTGTTGGTTATTTTTTTTCCGATTAATCTGATAAAAAAAGAAAAGCGCATTCATTTCCAACCCTTTATTCAAAAACAAGACTAACACAAAATGTATGCTTTACATCTGCCAAATACAGTGAGGAAAATAAGTATTTGAGCAATTTTGCAAGTTAGCTATTTACTTGAGCTATTTTTATTTAAGCTATTTTGCAAGTTCTCCCACTTAGAAATCATGAGGGGTCTGACATTGTCATCGTAGGTGCATGTCCACTCTGAGAGACATAATCAAAAAACAAAACAAGAAATCACAATGTATCATTTTTTAACTATTTATTTGTATGACACAACTGCAAATAAGTATTTGAACACCTGAGAAAATCAATGTTAATATTTGGTTCAGTAGCCTTTGTTTGCAATTACAGAGGTCAAACTTTCCTGTAGTTTTTCAGCAGGTTTGCACACACTGCAGGAGGGATTTTGGCCCACTCCTCCACACAGATCTTCTACAGATCAGTCAGGTTTCTGGGCTGTCACTGATTTTGAACTCCTTCCAATGATTCTCTATTGGGTTTATGTCTAGAGACTGGCTAGGGCACGCCAGAACCTTGATATGCTTCTTACAGAGCCACTCCTTGGTTATCCTGGCTGTGTGCTTCGGGTCATTGTCATGTTGGAAGACCCAGCCTCGACCCATCTTCAATGCTCTAACTGAGGGAAGGAGGTTGTTCCCCAAAATCTCGCAATACATGGCCACGGTCATCCTCTCCTTAATACAGTGCAGTCGCCCTGTCCCATGTGCAGAAAAACACCCCCAAAGCATTATGCTACCACCCCCATGCTTCACAGTAGTGATGGTGTTATTGGGATGGTACTCATCATTCTTCTTCCTCCAAACACGGTTAGTGGAATTATGACCCAAAAGTTCTATTTTGGTCTCATCTGACTTCTCTGGATCATCCAAATGGTCATTGGCAAATTTAAGACGGGCATTAACATGTCCTGGTTTAAGCAGGGGAACCTTCCGTGCCATGCATGATTTCAAACCATGATGTTTTAATGTATTACCAATAGTAACCTTGGAAACGGTGGTCCCAGCTCTTTTCAGGTCATTGACCAGCTCCTCCTGGTTAGTTCTGGGCTGATTTCTCACCTTTCTTAGGATCATTGAGACCCCACGAGGTGAGATCTTGCATGGAGCCCCAGTCCGATGGAGATTGACAGTAATGTTTACCTTCTTCCATTTTCTAATGATTGCTCCAACAGTGGACCTTTTTCAGCCTTGTGGAGGTGTACAATTTTGTCTCTAATGTCTTTGGACATCTCTTTGGTCTTGGCCATGTTAGTAGTTGGATTCTTATTGATTGTAAGAGGTGGACAGGTGTCTTTATGCAGCTAATGACCTCAAACAGGTGCATCTAATTTAGGATAATAAATGGAGTGGAGGTGGACATTTTAAAGGCAGACTAATAACAGGTCTTTGAGGGTCAGAAATCTAGCTGATAGACAGGTGTTCAAATATTTATTTCCAGCTGTATTATACAAATAGATAAAAAAAAATGCATATATTGTGATTTCTGGATTTTTTTATTTTTTTATTTTTAGATAATGTCCCTCACAGTGAACATGCACCTACCATTGCCAACTATTTTAATAAATGATTTTTATCGATTTGTTGTTGTTGCCCTTTTAAAATTAATAAATTAGTTTTAAATTATGATACAATTTCAGAATATGAATGTTTTCACTGTAATTTTGATCAAATAAATAAATACATTTCTTGATGAACATAAACCAACCCCAAAGGTTTGAAAGGTATTTTCACTACTATAAATTGTTGATTTACTTCTAAAGTAAATAGTAAATTGTTGATTCACTTGTTGATTGTATCTGTTGATATTAGATTGATACTGTTGATATATTCTTTATTAACTGATAGTTTTTTATGTAAAAACACAATATTATAATATTTAAATTGTCCGTAACATGCAAAGAATGTTCAGCTTTTTGGTATTGGATAGGATTTTAATACAATCAACAGTTCCAAGGAAAAGGAAGAAGTTTTTGCTACGCTGACATGAACTGTGGTTGGAAGGATAAATATACTGTAAAAAAAAAAAAAGCAGGAAGAAGGGATTATATTCATACCTTAAAACAATCTTTCTAAAAATGTCACTCAGGCACATTAACATCATGGTGGTCACAGCAAGAAGGATGAACATGCAGGAAAGATCTTTGTTGTAATTGTTTGTATAGGATACATTGATACAACCCCCTCCAGAGTAAATGACATTGTGTACCTACAGTATATGCGCATGCAGGTAGTGACTCACTCATTCCATATGACATCATCCGAGGTGGCCTCCCAGGGATACTGGGAAAAGGCGGATAAAGGGACTACTGTAGGTGGGCTCTGAAAAACAGGTCACTTGCCGCCAACTGTTACTAAACAGGAAAATGGAAGGATTGATGCCGTCCTGCTGAAAACAGGTGCGTGTGTTTTGATGTACTCTGCTGGCATGGAAATAATTGGAGTGCGTCATCCCCAGAACTTTTGAACTTGACCTGTTCAAAAAGCCACGCAATCTTTCCTAATGAATCTATTATAACCGTTAAGCAATGTGATATTTATGTGCATAAATCATTGAGCTTGTGGCTTTATGTTCATTTCAATGCAGCATGTGCACTGACTTAAACAATGTGTTGGTAAGCAGCTCGGTGTGCAGAGGTTGATTTCTATAGGCCAAATGTGCGGGTGGTCACGAGCACCCTAAAGTCTCTCAATGGAGCTTCTTTCATAAACTGAATCCACTGGTGTGTTAACTGTATACATTTCACCCTTCGCCCACTTCTTTGAGGCATTCACACAAGCAAACCTGCGATTAGGCCTATATTAGACTATAATGCTAAGCACCACTTAAAAATAAAATTCTAATAAAAATGATCTGCTTCTAATATTCATTTTTTGGAAGCAATCCCTTTCAGTGATAGATGGTATTATCATGGACTTTGATATATACTAGAGAAATACCTGTATTAGGCAATACCAATAAACAGCCAATTCTATAAATTTATTCTAAACAAATAAGGTAAGGTCTCACATGTTGGTACTATTTTGTTATAGTTATCATTGTACAGTTATCAATGTAGAGGACATTGTAAAATGTAACACAGTCTCATCCCAAGTCATATAACTGACGTCTTGGGACGTCTTTTGACCATTCGTCAACATCCGCCTTTTAGGGTACCCTTATACGTCGGTTACATGACGATCCCGGGCCGTCATACAACTGACGCTTCCCAGCAGGCACTGGACGTCAATATGACGTTATATTGACGTTGGACCCTAACGTTGGGTAGACGTTGCAATTTGATTGGATATGAAAATCGGGTTGACGTCAGAATCCAACGTTACTCTGACGTTGGGTTATGACGTCAACCCGATTTTGATATCCAATTAAAATGCAACGTCTGTCCAACGTTGGATATTGACGACAGACTGACGTTGGGTTATGACGTCAACCCGATTTTCATATCCAATCAAAATGCAACGTCTGTTCAACGTTGGATATTGACGACAGACTGACGTTGGGTTATGACGTTGGGTTATGACGTCAACCCGATTTTCATATCCAATCAAAATGCAACGTCTGTCCAACGTTGGATATTGACGACAGACTGACGTTGGGTTATGACGTCGGGTTATGACGTCAACCCGATTTTCATATCCAATCAAAATGCAACGTCTGTCCAACGTTGGATATTGACGACAGACTGACGTTGGGTTATGACGTTGGGTTATGACGTCAACCCGATTTTCATATCCAATCAAAATGCAACGTCTGTCCAACGTTGGATATTGACGACAGACTGACGTTGGGTTATGACGTTGGGTTATGACGTCAACCCGATTTTCATATCCAATTAAAATGCAACGTCTGTCCAACGTTGGATATTGACGACAGACTGACGTTGGGTTATGACGTCAACCTGATTTTCATTTCCAACCAAAATGCAACATCTGTCCAACGTTGGATGTTGACGACAGACTGACGTCGGGTTATGACGTCAACCCGATTTTCATATCCAATCAAAATGCAACGTCTGTCCAACGTTGGATATTGACGACAGACTGACGTTGGGTTATGACGTCGGGTTATGACGTCAACCCGATTTTCATATCCAATTAAAATGCAACGTCTGTCCAACGTTGGATATTGACGACAGACTGACGTTGGGTTATGACGTCAACCTGATTTTCATTTCCAACCAAAATGCAACATCTGTCCAACTTTGGATGTTGACGACAGACTGACGTCGGGTTATGACGTCAACCCGATTTTCATATCCAATTAAAATGCAACGTCTGTCCAACTTTGGATATTGACGACAGACTGACGTTGGGTTATGAAGTCAACCCGATTTTCATTTTCAACCAAAATGCAACGTCTGTCCAACATTGGATGTTGACGTCAGTCTGACATTGGGTTTTTACATCAACCCGATTTCCATTTTCAACCAAATTGCAACGTCTGTCCAACATTGAAGATAAACGTCAGTCTGACGTTGAGTTACGTCAACCCGGTGTTGGGTAAACCTCCAACGTTGGACATTGCCTTTTGGTTTAAAATGAATCAGTTTTAAGTGTCAGACCCCAATGTTAAGCTAAACATCAAACTCACATGTTGGGCTGACGTCCAACCGTGGACAGACAATGAATTTTTGATGTCAGATATCTGTCAAAACACAACATTAAGCTGTCAAATTCCAACTTTAAAGAAATATATGGTAATTTTGTTGGCATGACATAAAACTACATGAAGTTTCATCAAAAGAAACTTCATGTAACAACAAGGTTCGAACAGAGGTCTAGATCCAATGCAAGACAACCCAAAAGTATTTAGCTTAAGACAAGAGCAAACAGAAAAGTAACTGTAATCCACAAATGATGTTTATTAGATAAATGACAAAGAAATTAAATGGATTATAAAATAACCTTTTATTTTATTCTTTTTTTTTTTTTTTACATTATTTTAACAGAAGGTTTTCAACCATTTATACTTAACATTATTATCCTTATTCTAAAATCGTACAATTTTTTTTTCCTGCAACCTCCGCCCCTGCCTGTCTGGGGCATATTTTAAACATACGGCGACAGCCGCTCCAATGTTTGCCTCCGTCTCCTTTGAAGTCCTCTAGACACTCTGTAAGAAATATTTGAAAAATACAATTTATAGGGAATATAAGATATGATGCACTACATTAAGCATTAAAACATTGAATTCCAAACATTCTTAAAGCTAGGGTAGGACATTTCAGAGGGGCTAGCAATAGCAAGCTAGCTTGGAAAGCAATCGATATGATTCAGAGCATCTCAAAAGCCAAATAACCAAAGAGTTGGTGGAAGAGAGTGCAATGCTTTTAGATTAACTCGTGTCTCATTCACTGGTGAGACATTACAATAATAATGAATGTGAATAATGAAAAAAAAAGGTTAAAAAAAAACATTTAGCAAAAATACAATTTCATAATTATTATTATTTTTTTTTTTAAATAAAACCCTTTTCAAATGTTGGTTCAAGAGAAATCGCTAATGTTTGGCTTCTATTCTCAATTTCTATGCATATATTGAACACGTTGATGACGTTTCACTTTGCAAACAAGTTGCGTAGAGGTATGCAAATATATATATTGACAAACAGGTAGGACATCCTATATATGTATATACAGTAGCTACCAGGATAGGAACACACTTTCAACAAGTTTTTGGAAAAAAAATTCTACCCTAGCTTTAAGGGCCATACACATGTAACATTCTTGCATGTACATGCTGTACTCATCAAAAGAGAGATATTTCTTTTGATGCTGTTCACAAATGGCGATCAGACATTCCAAGCAAAAATGTTAATCTTAAGCTAAATGAACATTTAAAAGACATCAGATTGAATGTAAAAACAACAGTTAGAGTAGGTGTGGGCATTCTTACCAAAATTTCATATCACAATCTTATAAGAAACAATCACGATACATGATCATAATCGTGATCTTACCAATTTTGAGATGCACTTGCACTATCAAGAAAATTAAGACTGGCAACGAACGATACATGTCTGATATGAATTGATATTTAAATAAATAATCTGCAAATGAATTAAAAACATCTATAAATTAAACATCCTTAACATCCTTATTTTAGATTGTAACTTCTTGATTCTGTAATTATATGCTATTACAGTATTTTTCACATATAAAGAAATTGTTTGAAAAAAATATGAATAAAAAGATAATGCAATCAACCTGGCACTCAGTAAGTTTGTGCGCACTAGGAACCACATTTTTTTTTTTTCAAATAAAGACAACGTGACACTCATTTTACATTTAGCACACAGTGTAAATGACATTAATATGGCAGAGGGCAACTGAATATAGCGCCAGCATAGTTTGAAATCAAAGGTTTAAAGTTTGTCGATCATGTGTCCCCAGTGAAGCTGAACTTATTCACACGGACTGACCGGGATTGAACGTCTATGTACACTTCAGAATATCTGACAGCTGGATTCGACAAAGTCTGCAAGGATTGTGAAATTAAATGTTTTTTTTTTAATATTCAAAGATTTGTTTAAATTATATAAATGCGTATATTTGCTGAATATGAGAAACTATTAATAGTGTTTGCCTGTTTGTTACTAATAATATAAAAGCAAAAACTATAATACTTTTTCTTATACAGTTTAATTTCTTTGTTCTATCCAACAACAGGTTATATCCAGTAACGTATTAGACAAAACTGTTAAACAGAGAGCATAAACTAATGAAGACGAAGAATAGGAGCGCTGTGTGCTCAGGGCCGCCCGTAAAATTAAAAGTCAGCTTCACTGGGGACACATGATCGTCAATATATATAGTTTGTCATATCTAGATGTCACACTGGTTCCACTGTCGGCCTGGTGTTGATTCCAAGGGTCAGGAAGGATTTAAACATATAGAAAAATCTAAATATTTAATATCACATTTGGATATTGCATATTGGAATGGTAAATTGAGTGTTTTAATTGAATCAGATGTACACAGTGTTCCTATTTTAACTGCAGGGGTTTGTTAATTTTAGACTAGTCAGTTATAGGTATGAGACGGCGAGGATATTTTCCCACCGGCTAATCAACGTGTGGACAACACCGGCAATACCGGTATCACTGGCGGGGCTTTTAAAAAGCTAATTTAAAGGCAAACGTAAACGTATTTGGATGCCTTGTTGTTTCTTGCGTTTCACCTGTATGTCTTGAATATAGCCTTCGAACGCATATTGCAGCCCCTTTTGCCTACTTTTATCGGACACTTTATTTGCTGCTTTATAAAAGTTTGATAACATTTCAGCAGGAAGAGCTGTTACAGCATAAGCCATGCAGAGTGCAGATGAAGTTTGACAGATGTAACAACAGTAACTTAGGGGGGCGGGGCTTAGCCAAAGGTGAATTGGTGCTAATTTGAAAACAAATGCACGGCCACACATGTCAAAGGGAGTTCTGTACATTTCTGTTCTGCTCAGTCCGTGCACGTTGACACGTGTGGCCGTGCACATGTTAGTTTCATTTTTAAATTACACAACAACAAAACAGTGCAATGATAAATTCACTTAAATAGGCGCTTTTACATTTCGCTGTGACACATTATTCCGCAGTCACCTTGTCAGTCAGCTCCTCACTCTTGTGATGAAAGAAACTGACTCATGTTGCTGATCTGTGTGTCGACTCTTGTTCGGCTCAAGATTTACGCGCTCGCCGATGATCGCATGGATATCGATGGTGCTCACATGTTCGCAACGTGTGAGAGGAATTACGAGCCAAGCCGAGCACTTCCCGATAATTTAAAAAAATGTTTAAAAAATTCGGGGAGTCTGCCTGTTTTTCACCAGTAGGGTTTATGCACACTTTTTTAAAAGGCAAATTTAAGGATTGTTAAGACCTGAAGAAATAAAAAAAATAAAAAATACCTTACATTAGGGGTGCGCAATATTGACAAAAATATGTCTCGATATTTTAATGATTGTGTTTTTGTGCTGGTACCATGGCTGGTTTAGGCCTGTTGTTGACAGCTGATTCACGAAGATATTCATATTTTTCATATTCTATGCAGTGGTCAGTTCACAGCAGTGACAGAAATTAATATTAAATAAGATTTGTGCAGGACAGTCGTGCCGTGTACCGGCTGTTTTGACGTGATTATCAAGATAACTGACTCCTGAAATGCAATATCTTACGACCTCCATTACGAGTGTCCGAACTATGCCTGCCTCAACACCGACTATCGTAGCAAGCCTAGTCGATTACTAAACCTCTGTTTAAATGACTTTAAAATTTGTCATCACACACATCTCTAATTAAACAGACAGACGGATGGATAGTCAACTTCATCAACTTGTCAGTGACAACATCCAGATAAAATAACACATGATTCTGCCAAGAACTGCTAATATAAAAACTTACTTCTCCATGATCCTTTTCCCATTGTCCTTTAAATGTATTTCTCCATCATTGGACAAGCTATTAATCTGAAATTAGAGGAACAGTATTTTAGTTTAAACACAAAAAAGGTTAACAGTGTATCCCCATGACGGTTGCAAGTCGCACGGGGATTGAAACACTGCACATTATAAAAATTGCATTATATATGACTGTATGTCCTTACCGGTATCTGCTTTTCCTCCAGGCAGTTGAGAGATTTATCAAGGACATTTCCTCAACTGTTGATGCCTGCCCTTATAAAACAAAAACATGAGATCATTATTTACAAAAACTTCTTTACAATCTTTAATTTCGGAGAACTGTGGTAACAATGCACATTGCACAGATAATCATGAGTTAATGTATGTCATATGTAATGTATTGACTATTAACTAATTGCAATAGGCTATGTCATTTTGGTTTTGACTTCCACATTATTGTACTATGACATATTACTTAACAATTAGTAATATTTAAATAATGATACCCTTGCAAATCATAAGCTAATGATTAATTAAAGCCAACAACTGAAGTACATAGCTTTGACACATTGTGGTAATTTACACATTTATTTACACTGTTAATAAAATATATTATTCATGAATTAATACATTATGGCACATTTAATCAATTAATTAATATATTACTTAAAATATTAATATAGACGTTATTAGTTGCAGATGCAGTATAATTGTGTCATACATTGACTCGTGATTATCTGTGCATTAGTTAAGTAGTATGAATTAATGCTTAAGTGCACCCGTATTGTAAAGTGTTACCAAAAATAAAATGGTTAAGCAGGAAATAAAATAAAATAAATCACATTCGGACCACATGACATTTTTTAAGGCTACTGCCAATTCATCTAGATAAATAAACATTTAATCATATCATTATTAAGCTTATTTCTTTGTATTTTAAAATTGGCTGTCGAAAATCCTTATAACTTACATTGACGTCCCACAAGCACATTTTACAATAGTGATCTAGAATCCACGACAAATAAGGACAAGTAACGTTATAGCCACTATGTAAAAAAATATATACTGTGTAAGTTATATATTTTGCGTGTCATGTGAAGGGCTCTGTAAAATTAATATAAATTAATGCATTCACATGCTAGTCGTTTCCCGACTCCTCCAACAACAGCGGCCATACCCCCAGCGAACCGGACAGCCGGCGCACGTGCATTTCAGTCTGACAAATGTGCGCTGAGGGATCATTCCTATATCACTACTTGTACTAGTAGTTATTATATAAAAGTCACTTTTAACTACATCAACTAGGTAACTGTTACTTTGGTAGTTAAATAGTAGGCCAGGTAGAAATTCTCGCGCAGCCCAGTCCACATATAATAAAATAAAACTAATAAACACCAATATTTATTTATATTTTCGTTACCTCTGTTCACTCACCTTCCACAGCAGGTATATCCAGATGTTGAAAGTTGTGCAGGCCAGTGCCCGCGCAGACAGTATAATGGCTGCTGGAGTGGAGTGGAACGGGTGAGAGGTCTTCGTCTTTCCCACAAGATCGGGTAGAGCGGAGGAAATTGATGCCTAACTGTGATTGGTTAGGAATTAATTTCAAATTGATGCCTAACTGTGATTGGTTAGGGATTCATTTAAAATTTCTTGGGTTACCTGCAACATTCTAAAAACTGTTGCACACTTCAATAGGCTAAATTGATTTTATTATTATTGTTATTCATATTATTATCATTATTAAAAATAACTACTGCGTTTGTCTGACAGCTGCACTGTTAAGCACAACTTGATAAAGAAATTGGGTGCAATGTCTGTTTCTCATGGAATCCAAATGAAGGCCATATTTGTTATATACGCTATAACTAAAATTTCAGGTCCATGAGGTCCAACTCACCTGATAAGTAGCCCTAATTAAAAAGATAAAACTGTCAGGTTGTTGGACATATGCTATACAGATGATTACTCATACTGTTACCCTGTCACTGCCTGAATTCTGAATTCATTAGTCTCCAATAAACTGCTGTATTGTGACTTTGGAGATTTTGGAAACACTTTACAATAAGGTTCATTTATTAAACATTAGTTAATGTATTAACTAACATGAACTAACCATGAGCAATACATTTAAATCCAGTTGTTCATTGCTTGTTCATGTTAGTTCACAGTGCACTAACTAATGTTAACAAGATTTTAATAAAATATTAGTAAATGTTGAAATTAACATTAACAAAGATTAACAAATGCTGAAGAAGTATTTTTTATTCTTAGTTAATGTTAACTAATGTAGTTACTAATGAACCTTATTGTAAAGTGTTACCGAGATTTTGATTACCCAAATGCACAACTTATTTGCTGTTCCATAATGTAGATCATCCAATTTTGAACCATAAAGTCTTTCCCTCTTGTGAGAATGTAAATCTTGCCGGGAATGTGCTTCTCCAAATTGAATAAAGTGTACTGTATACACCTGCAAACAACATAATTTTGAGCATCAACCCAGCTGATTTTTTTTGTAAATATGCAAAATAACACAGGGTGGTTTATGATTCATTATTGTAGACATAAGAATAAACCATTAATAAATCCCAAACCAATGTGTGTTGGGCACACCTTCAGTCTTTCAGTTGCATGCTTCCAGGTAGTACTTCATTCATTTTTAGATCAGCACACTCCTGGTGAAGAGCTTGTTCTTCTGACAGGGAACACACTGGGTCAACTTGATCTATTACACTTGCATGAACAAGAAAATCTATGGATAATCCAAACTATCACCAATAAAGAGCAATGCTTACAGTAAGTTTGACGTTTAGGTCACAAAGACTTCAGTCTGAATTATTCATAAGTATGAAGTTAGTGTATTTTAGACATTGAATTTCTCTTACCCAAGAACACAACTGAAATCATACCAAATATGTGTAATGTTGATGTATCCTATTTAAGATGTATATGTACATTAGCATGCTGACATTTGTGTTTTGTTTAGTAGGCTAACCATGATGTGCAGTCAACAAAACAAAAACATCTAATAATGGAATGTTGTGTTGTCTAGATGTTAACATAGTGACATTGCTGGGTTTAGACCACCATACTGTACCTCATGACAATTTAGAAGTGAGATTGTGACCCAACAAAACATAGTATTTGACATCATTATGACGTTAGCTTGAAACGTTGGCTCAATGTTGGATTTTAGTTACTTTACAACTCAACCTAAAAATAACAAAAGAACAACGTCTAATGATGTTAGAATTTAACGTTATATGGACGTTACCATAATGACGTTGAAGAGACGTGGATTTTTGGTCACTATACCTCATGACTAAATGTCAGTATTTGACAACAATATGATGTTGGTTTGAGACGTTGGCTCAACATTGGATTTTAGTTACTTTACAACACAACCTTAAAATAATAAAAGATCAACGTCTAATGATGTTAGAATTTGACATTGTGTGGATGTTATGACGTTAAGGAGATGTTAGGTTGTGGTCACCATACATAACGACTAAATGTCAATGTTTGACTTAAATATGACATTGTCTGGAGATGTTGGTTTGATATTGTATTTTGGTTAGTTAAATCACAACCTAAAACCAACAAAATATTAACGTCTAATGATGTTAGAATTGACGTTATATGGACGTTACCATAATGACATCAAGGTGGCGTTTGATTTTGGTCACCATACCTCACCACTAAATGTCAGTATTTGACGTCAATGTGATATTGGTTTGAAACATTGGCTCAACGTTGGATTTTAGTTACTTTACAACACAACCTAAAAATAACAAAAGATCAACGTCTAATGATGTTAGAATTTGACATTGTGTTGAAGTTATCATTATGACGTTAAGGAGATTTTTAAGATTTTTAAGGTCACCATACCTAACGATTAAATGTCAATGTTTGACGTAAATATGACATTGTCTCAAGATGTTGGCTTGACGTTGTATTTTGGTTAGTTAATACCACAACCTAAAACCAATAAAATAACAACATCTAATGTTTTCAGAATTTGACATTGTGCGGACATCAACATTATGACGTCAACATGATGTTGGGGTTTGGTCACCACACATCACAAATAAATGTTTGTCATAGGACGTTGTGTTGAGACGTTGGCTTGATGTTGTATTTTGGTTAGTAAATACCACAACCTGAAACTAACAAAATATCAACGTCTAATGATGTTAGAATTTGACGTTGTGTGGACGATGCATTATCACGTTAAGAACATGTTGGGTTTTGGTCACCATACCTCACGACTAAATGTCAGTTTTTGACGTAAATATGACGTTCTCAGGAGACGTTGGCTTGACGTTGTATTTTGGTTAGTTAATACCACAACCTGAAACCAACAAAATATCAACGTCTAATGATGTTAGAATTTGACGTTGTGTGGACGATGCATTATCACGTTAAGAACATGTTGGGTTTTGGTCACCATACCTCACGACTAAATGTCAGTTTTTGACGTAAATATGACGTTCTCAGGAGACGTTGGCTTAACGTTGTATTTTGGTTAGTTAATACCACAACCTGAAACCAATAAAATATCAACGTCTGTTAAAATTTGACGTTGTGTGGACGTTACTATTATGACGTTAAGAACATGTTGGGTTTTGGTCACCATACCTCACGACTAAATGTCAGTTTTTGACATAAATATGACTTTGTTAGGAGACGTTGGCATGACATTGTATTTTGGTTAGTTAATACCACAACCTGAAACCAACAAAATATCAACGTCTAATGATGTTAAAATTTGACGTTGTGTGGACGTTACCATTATGACGTTAAGAACATGTTGGGTTTTGGTCACCATACCTCACGACTAAATGTCAGTTTTTGACATAAATATGACTTTGTTAGGAGACGTTGGCATGACATTGTATTTTGGTTAGTTAATACCACAACCTGAAACCAACAAAATATCAACGTCTAATGATGTTAAAATTTGACGTTGTGTGGACGTTACCATTATGACGTTAAGAACATGTTGGGTTTTGGTCACCATACCTCACGACTAAATGTCAGTTTTTGACATAAATATGACTTTGTTAGGAGACGTTGGCATGACATTGTATTTTGGTTAGTTAATACCACAGCCTGAAACCAACAAAATATCAACGTCTAATGATGTTAAAATTTGACGTTGTGTGGACGTTACCATTATGACGTTAAGAACATGTTGGGTTTTGGTCACCATACATCACGACTAAATGTCAGTTTTTGACGTAAATATGACGTTCTCAGGAGACGTTGGCTTGACGTTGTAGTTTGGTTAGTTAATACCACAACCTGAAACCAATAAAATATCAACGTCTGTTAAAATTTGACGTTGTGTGGACGTTACTATTATGACGTTAAGAACATGTTGGGTTTTGGTCACCATACCTCACGACTAAATGTCAGTTTTTGACATAAATATGACTTTGTTAGGAGACGTTGGCATGACATTGTATTTTGGTTAGTTAATACCACAACCTGAAACCAACAAAATATCAACGTCTAATGATGTTAAAATTTGACGTTGTGTGGACGTTACCATTATGACGTTAAGAACATGTTGGGTTTTGGTCACCATACCTCACGACTAAATGTCAGTTTTTGACATAAATATGACTTTGTTAGGAGACGTTGGCTTGACGTTGTATTTTGGTTAGTTAATACCACAACCTGAAACCAACAAAATATCAACGTCTAATGATGTTAAAATTTGACGTTGTGTGGACGTTACCATTATGACGTTAAGAACATGTTGGGTTTTGGTCACCATACGTCACGACTAAATGTCAGTTTTTGACGTAAATATGACGTTCTCAGGAGACGTTGGCTTGACGTTGTAGTTTGGTTAGTTAATACCACAACCTGAAACCAATAAAATATCAACGTCTGTTAAAATTTGACGTTGTGTGGACGTTACTATTATGACGTTAAGAACATGTTGGGTTTTGGTCACCATACCTCACGACTAAATGTCAGTTTTTGACATAAATATGACTTTGTTAGGAGACGTTGGCATGACATTGTATTTTGGTTAGTTAATACCACAACCTGAAACCAACAAAATATCAACGTCTAATGATGTTAAAATTTGACGTTGTGTGGACGTTACCATTATGACGTTAAGAACATGTTGGGTTTTGGTCACCATACCTCACGACTAAATGTCAGTTTTTGACATAAATATGACTTTGTTAGGAGACGTTGGCATGACATTGTATTTTGGTTAGTTAACACCACAGCCTGAAACCAACAAAATATCAACGTCTAATGATGTTAAAATTTGACGTTGTGTGGACGTTACCATTATGACGTTAAGAACATGTTGGGTTTTGGTCACCATACGTCACGACTAAATGTCAGTTTTTGACGTAAATATGACGTTCTCAGGAGACGTTGGCTTGACGTTGTAGTTTGGTTAGTTAATACCACAACCTGAAACCAACAAAATATCAACGTCTAATGATGTTAGAATTTGACGTTGTGTGGACGATGCATTATCACGTTAAGAACATGTTGGGTTTTGGTCACCATACCTCACGACTAAATGTCAGTTTTTGACATAAATATGACTTTGTTAGGAGACGTTGGCATGACATTGTATTTTGGTTAGTTAATACCACAACCTGAAACCAACAAAATATCAACGTCTAATGATGTTAAAATTTGACGTTGTGTGGACGTTACCATTATGACGTTAAGAACATGTTGGGTTTTGGTCACCATACGTCACGACTAAATGTCAGTTTTTGACGTAAATATGACGTTCTCAGGAGACGTTGGCTTGACGTTGTATTTTGGTAAGTTAATACCACAACCTG